TACTCATTTTAAGATCCATCATAGCATAAAGCTATCAAAAGATTAAAGAATCAAAAATGAATTTTTAGTTTATACAGTAACTCTTTGTACTAACTATATCATTTAAATGTTTTTGTTTAACTTTTTAAAATTGTTCACTCTTTTCCAAGTCCATGAATGTACGTTCAAATTCAGAATTAACTTTTATTTGTACATTTTTGTCTCAGATGAAAATAACTTCACAGTGGTTTCTGGAGGAGTATTGCTGTTATAATAGCTGGAGTGTGAACATTTTGTGAACAGCAAATGAACACAACAAAGACTTAACTCTGGATGTGTTTACAGAGTTTTGACAAAGTTGGCTTTTGGGAAATTTTAAAGGGAGTGTTGAAAACAGGAGCTCCTGCTATACCAAGAAATCTGAGATACCCTAGGCCAAGAACAACAACTTGAAGGCTTTCTGAAGGGCAAGGAGAAATCTGAGATCAGTATACTTGCATCCACTTGACAGCTACATAATTTCAGAGTCAGGATATTAACTATTTCCTTTACCATATGATTCCTGGTCCCTATGTTATTTTTCTACAAAACTGTGAATCCAACACACTGTAAAGCTCCAAGTGACAGAAGCCATGACTCTTTTTTTAAAGATTTATTTTATTTTTACTGGAAAGTCAGATATACAGAGAAGAGGAGAGGCAGAGAGGAAGATCTTGTATCCGTTGGTTCACTCACCAAGCGGCCACCAGATCACAAGTTGGGAAAGCAGTCAAGGACAGCCCAATGCCTTGGGACCCTGCAGAACTCCCAGATTACAAATTGGGAGCTGGATGGGAAGCGGGACTGCCAGGATTAGAACCGGCGTCCATATGTGATCACAGCTTGTACAGGTGAGGAGGACTTTAGCTGCTATGGTGCTGTACCAGACCCGAGGCTGGGAATCTTAAATATTTGTCCTCACATGTCATCCAAGTCTTTGATCTTTATCAAAACACTTAAGATAAATTTCGCCTTTGGAAAATGTCCTCTTAAGAAGAGTTTGGACTCATCAGGACCATGGGCATGGACACCTGTGAGTCCTGTGGTTGAGGTTTCACAAGATTTTGCCATACCTTCAGTGCTGAGGAGAAAATTATACCCACTCGGGAAAAAATAAATAAAAGATCAGGCATCCTAAAGACGGTCACAGAACAGATAGAATGACAAAGAGCAAGGGGAACGAGGAAATAGAAACGCATTGCCTCACCGTTTCTAACATCTTTGTGGTGAAAAAGATTGACACTGTTGATAAAAAGCTGACCTTACTTATTGCCAAGGAAGATGATCCTAACTGTCCCAGTAAAGACAGATGGCAGAGTCAGCAGGCTGGGCTGCTGCCGTTGTGATCATCAGGAGTGTCACATCAGTCCCGTGAGCCACTGTGGCCCATGAGCTCAAGTGTCTCTGCAGAAACATCCACCACTCCGCTTTGTCTCCTCTCAGGAGTGGAAAGCACAGCCCTCCCAGCAGAAAGGATATTAGCCGAACTGAGGGTGAAATGTGGTGTTGAGACTCGGGGCCTGTTGAGGGATCTGTGTAAAACCAAAGTGCAACATCACCAAAGCCTAGAGCAAGCTGATGTGCAAACGTAACTGCCCTTGTATTTGCTTCTTATGGTTTTTTTCTAGATGCCATTATTTCCATTAACTGAGTTCTTACATGTCAAAAAGAAACTTACTTTGATGGTGAGTTCTTGAGTCTTAAAGAAGAAGCGAAAGTGTAGTAATTTGTATTCAGTAGCGGGATGGCTTCATACCTCCTTCCCACTGGACTGATGTGGAATCTGTTCCGGATAGGTGATTCCCAACATTTGTGAGTACTTTACTCTTGTGTGAGCGTTAGATTGACTTGATTGTCTGTCTGAGAATGGAAGCCATACACTTTTATTATTTTGAGTTGTGTCTTCCAATACTAACTGAATGGAGACTCCTCTCTTATTGTCTGTTGCTTCTGGCTGGAGATTTACTTTTAAAATTCTTTTTTAAGGATTTATACACTGATACAATTGTGATTCCTTATGAAGGACTACACTATTGTAACAAAATGAGAGAAAATCTGATGGGGTAGGAGTTTGGGGGGGGGATACCAGCCTATACAAAAATGTACCACATAATTCAAAATTCAAAATAAAAATATTTTTTTAAATAAAAAATTAGAAAATAAAGATTTATTTATTGGAAAGGCAGATTTACAGAGAGGAGAAACAGAAAAAGGTTTTCTATCTACTGATTCACTCCCCAAATGACCACGATTTAGTTGAGCTGAGCCAGTCTGAAGCCAAGAGCCCGGAGCTTCCTTCTGGTCTCCCATGTGGGTGCAGGGTCCCAAGGCTTTGGGCCATCCTCCACTGCCTTCCCATGCTGCAAGCAGGGAGCTGAGTGGGAAATGGAGCAGCTGGGACACAAGCCAGAACCCATATAGGAACCCAGATGTGCAAGATGAGGGTTTAGCCTTTAGGCTATTGCACCAGGCTCCAGTTTTTGGATATTTTAGTACTTTGTGGAAATTCTACCAACTCCTATATGGCCACAGTTGCACCAATCTGAAGCTGGGAGCCAGGAGCCTCTTCTGGGTCTCTCATGAGAGTGCAGGGTCTCAAGGCTTTGGGCTATGCTCTCCTGCTTTCCCAGGCTGCAGGCAGGGAGTTGGATGGGAGGTAAGACTGCTGGGATTAAAACCAGTGCCCAAATGTGACCCTGGCTCGTGCAAGCCCCAGACTTTAGCTGTTAGGCAAGTGCGCTGGACCCTTTTTCACTTTTCTAAAAGATCTGTCTGTTCCTTTGAAATCAGTGATGATGATGAAGTGAGCTCTCTGTATTGCAAACATAGTCACACAAAGTGCTGTTCCTTTCTTGTCGTTCTTCAGTCAGGCTCACAGAACCTTGAGTTCTGAGAAGCCTAAATAAGTTAAGTACAAGATAAGTATCCCTTCTCTGAAGTAGTTGAGTCCAAAATGTTTTGGATTTCTGATTATTTTTTACATCTTGGAATGTTTGTTTTTAGGTAGAGATGTCTGGAGATGGGATCCGAGTCTTAGCAACAATTCATTTATGTTTCTTATAAGTCTAATACAAAATTTAAATAACTGTTCATGAAATATTTAATTCCTGCTGTGCAATTTTCCATTAGTGATGTCATGTTCATGCTCAGACATGCTCAGTTTTGGAGCATTTTAGGTTTTTGAATTGGGGCTGCTCAAAGAGTGTTTTAAAAAATGTTCTAGGTCATTTTATTTTCCCTTCACTGTCTTGGCGTGACAGGCCCAACTTCTTGCTAGAGCATAAAATAGGAGATTAAATCAATATTTATACCATCTTTGACGGGAGTATGTTTAAGAAAAATTCTACACTTTCTTTGTAACTTGTCCCAGTTTCCCAATTTATTTAAATGATAATATAAAATATAATTAAACATGAAAAACATCTGCGTAGGAAGAAAAATAGAAGAAATATGGACTATTCAATTTGTTTATCTTTAATATTTTTCAATATATAGCCAACTTATATGTATCACAATTATGAAAAAATTATCAAAAACAAAATGTGAAAAACAGAAAACCTTTTATAGTCCTGGTTTTGCTATATAAATTGTTTGCATTTTAGAATATTTCCTTTTAATTTTTTTTTGTGTAATTTTTAACATGGAGTTACAATCATAGTATGCCTATTTTTTATTTTCTATGCATTTTTTAATATTTTTAATGAATTAATTCATCCATATTTGGCATTTATGTTGAATACTTCGTGGTGTTATACAGGATGTTATTGTGTTGAAGCAAAGTGTAGTGAGTTATCAGTTTGGGTGCAGGAGGTACATTTCAGTGGATGTGTCTAGCAGGGAAGCAGTATGGGTTTTTGATTAAGAACGGCTCAGGGGCCCATGTTTTGGTGTTGCAGGGCTGCCCCTTCCAATGCTAGCTTCCTCTAAAGACATTAGCTTGAGACTTGGCTATGCCACTTGTCCTATAGCTTTCTGCTCACTCACCTGGGAAAGCAATAGAGAATGGCCCAAGTGCTTGGATCCTACACTCACGTGGGAAAATGCGATGAAATTCTCCCTACTTGGACTTGGTCCCCCCTGGCCGTTGCGGGCATTTGGGAAAGTGAACCTGCAGAGGAAAGAGCCCGCTGTCTCTGTCCCTCTGTCTCTGTCTCTCTCTGTATAACTCTGGTTTTGGGTAAATAAATAAATCTTTTTTTTTAAAGGGTTAAAATGCTGTCTTCTATTTATTCAACATGTGCTTTTGAGCAAATTCCTTTTTGTCCTTGCTTTGTTTCTTGTACAAAGTGAACATCATGCTTGCATGTACCACATACGCATCTTTAATGAGAACTGAGCCAGACCTGTGATCTGAATCTGTTTTTAATCCAACAAATTTCAGATTCATTTAATGCAACTCCCACATGTTAATGAATGATAATAGATGATATGTAATCCAAATGTGGTGGGGAAAAAAAACTTGTAATTCTCCAGAATGTACCTTTGGTGGGGTCCTTTTAAGTCCTGGAGATAGCTGATGGTAATGATTGATCTGAAAGTTTGTTCTAGCACCCCTCAAGTTCTTGTAGTTTTAGTTCTTGTATTAAAGAGCACTGCTAGGAGAATTAGATCAACATTTTGTTTTGGCTTCCTTCTGTTAGTTTGGTTGTTAATAGTGTGATCGTAAGCAAGCACTAAGCTGCTCTAAATTTGTTTCTTTTCCATAGCAATAATATTTGCTTTATCTTTCTCAGAGATATTACTATGATTAAGTGTTCTATAAAAATATATTGAAGAATATGATGAATTATATTAAAAATAAGTGTTATTAATTAAAAACAAAGTAAAAATGGGAGAATGCATACTGAGATCTTGATACAATATTAGCCACAGTACTATTTGCCATCATGAAAACGTTAATTTCTTTAAAAAGTTTGTTATTAAATGGGTTATGAATATATTGTTAATATCTGCTTTGATTTTTCCTTCCTTTTGTGTTTCAGACTCCTGGGAGAGTTGGCTCTCAAGGTTCTGATTTAGATTCATCAGCAACTCCCATAAATGCAGTGGATGTCAATAATGAAAGCTCTTCAGAGGTATGGAAATAGCAGCTTGGCAACAAAATTCATTATTATTTTAGGGAAAATTAATATATATTTGGAAGTAATGATCTATAATTTAATTATATCCTCTATAGGAAAAGTTTGTGTAAGTCACAAAAAACCGGAATGCAACGTTTGAGTCCTACTTGTGGATATTTAACTGCTTATTTGTGAGACGAAGAAAATGTATACTAATAGTGACAGATATGTTGCTAATTTGTCTTCACCGCTACTCTTATTATGATTTAAGAATGGCTTTTTTAGTTTGCTTATAAGAATCAGCAATTCATTCTGTGTGAGTGTATATACTGTCATGAAATGTAGGTTAATGGACCAATTATCTATAAGATTTGTATATTTTCTATTTTCTTTCATGATTTTGTAAGACTTTATATTATGTCTTTGGCAGTTTATTATGAAACTTAGTGGAAAAGGTAACTATTTGGGGGAAAATTGGCCTTAACATTTATATTATTTTTGCTTTTAATAAACATTTAATATTTATCCATCATAGAAAAGGAGGTAAGAAGATATATTCACATCCATATTGCCCCTGATAATACATATATTTTTTGTTATTATTTATCTTTATTTGAAAGGTAGATTTACAGAGAGAAGGAGAAATGGAAAAGTCTTCCATCTGGTGGTTCACTCCTCAAGTGAGCACAATGGTCAGAGCTGAGCCGATCTGAACTCAGGAGCATCTTCCCAGTGTTTTATGGGTGCAGGCTTTGGGCCATCCTCCACTGCTTTCTCCAGGCAGGGAGCTTGATGGGAATTGGAGTAACCAGGACAAGAATGGGCGCTCATATGGAATGCTGGCGCTGGCAGGGAGAGGATTAGCTGGTGCCAGCATCTCACAGTGTTTGTCAGTTGAACCTTTCTAGAGTTAGTTATACCCTTTACCCAGTACCCTCCATTCTCTTTCACCTTTTGTTTAATGAGTATGTCTGTCTCACATACATTTTGAAGTCTGCTTCTCTTTCTACCTGGTCATCTGTTAACCATGATAGGATTTTATGATTGTGAGAATGAGAAAAGTATCAACTGAACTTTACCAAGTTTAAAGCACATGTCTTTAAGAAAAAGTTCCAAACTGCAATCATGAGAACACATGCTGAACATACTCAACTGTAACCTAGCAAAAGAATGTGGTACCCTGTGTTGATGTCAGAACAAAAACTAAACACCAAAGAACAGCAGCAACTCCAGTGAACATTAATATTGAGCAGTACTTGTAGGAGTTGCTTCACTTTCTTGTTTTTTACAGTTATCATTATTATCATTTTATTATACAATTCCCTTCCTGGAATGTGTCCTCTCTGTTTCATCCTGATTAAATGTTTCTCCGTCCATTTAAATGTATCCTTACCCTATTCCACCATCTTGATTCTTTATTTTTCTAAGTAGGCCATTTTCCCTTCCTTGGATGGCTATTTGTACTTTGGTTATCCTTTTTGTCACCATGCTTCTTATCCTCTTGTTTCCTCAGTCACCTTCATGGAGGAAATGGGAACCATCAAATAAACGTCCTTTTTTTTTATCATCACAAAAATATACATAAGTTGAATGGAAACTAATATATCCAGATGTGAGGATATAATGTAGTATGCATTTCTACTTCCAGACAAAGATAAACTTATAATGAAACTATTTACTATATCTTGACAATAGGATGCTGGACTCTCTGCCATTGTCCATGCCCGCAGTGATAGACATATGGCCATGTATGAAGAACTGTACTTTAGTAATGATATAGAGGAACTAGATGTGACGGGGGTGGGGGGAATGGGGAGGGGATAGGGGAAATCCTAGAAACCTATGGACCTGTATCATAAAATGATAATAATAATACTTAAAAAAACTGAAAAAAACCCAAGAAAATAAAGCAACACCTACAAGTGGCAGCCCCATTTCCCATCCAGCTACCTGTTTGTGGCCTGGGAAAGCAGTCGAGGACGGCCCAAAGCATTGGGACCCTGCACCAGCATGGGAGACCCAAAAGAGGCTCCTGGCTTCTGGCTTCAATCAGCTCAGCTTTGGCTATTGTGGCCACTTGGGGTGTGAATCAAAGGACAGAAAATTTTTCTCTCTGTCTCTCCTCTTTGTAAATCTGATTATCCAATAAAAAAAAGTAAATAAATCTTTAAAAAGAAGTACTATTTCTTTGGAGACTTATTTTCTTTCACACCTCTGTGATGTTTACCTCAGTGGTCTTACTGGGTCATGTTGTTGCTGTTGAGGAAGCAGTATGCTTTCTGTTTAATTGATGCTGTTTGCAGTAATCTTCATGTGTTCTTTTCGTTGTGTTTATAATTTTAGTCAGTGTAAACTTGCATTTATCTCTCGCTCATTTTATTGCTATGATTTTTTTATCTTGTTTATATCTCACTGAATTCCTTGTACACAAGGATGGTTTCTTGAAATGTTCTGGAAAAGTCTACATTATTGCTTCCATATTTGTTATTGACCTTGAAACCAGGATTAGATACATGTGAAAATTATCACTATCACTTCATTATATTATTTTAGTATTTTATATATTCCTTTTGAACTGTTTTCCATTGTATACAATTTTTAAAAATCTGTTACGCAAATAAATTAAATCTTTGCTTTGCTGTAGAGAGCATCTGTTGTTTAGTAAACTCATAAATTTGAAATGCCCTATTTTTCATTTCTAGAAGCTCTGCTTTTTCAAATCTGATCTTTTTGTTTCCACTAATTTCTTGTTATTTGCTCATATTCTCAAGTTTTCATCTAAATATAACAGAAGTGGGTATAATTTCTGTCTGGTAATGTTTTATAGTTATTTTTATGGTGTTGAACCCTTGTAGGATTCACTATTGATTCACTTTTCCTGCCTTATATTCTTGTGTGTTTCAAGCTTTTTTGTTTGTTTGTTTTGACTGTGAACTGTGTCTCTTGGGATTTTTCTCATGGGAGTTCTTTCTAGATGTGTTGACATATTTTCAGAGCAAATTTTTACTTTCTTTTGTTGGCTGCTGGATATACCACTAACTGAGACTGCCTTCAATGGAGTTCTTTGCTTGAAATGTTTCATGCTACACAGTAGCATGATCTAGTTGTGGGTTGATGGTGGTTATAACTGCTTCACTTTCCAAGGTCTCATTCAGTCCCGCTTTCTCTCTCTGCCTCTCCAAGGTTTGGTCCCTTTTACTTTTATTGTACCTTTTCTTCTCTGCTTAGAGTAGTTCTAGATTTTTCACATTGTGAATTTAGCAGCTATTTAAGTGGATTTTTTTGTATATTATGACCTCCAAGACACTCAGGAAATATTAAAGATGGAAGCTTCCTTTATGTTTATATGACAATTCATACTTTATCTTGTGTAATTTAGGACGTATATAATAAATAACATAAGAGGTGATATATCATTTAAATGTTAACAGGAAGTTCTCGGACTGTTAGTATATTGTCAAATGTATTATCTTTGTTCATCATTTAAAGATTATTTATTTGTCTTGGTTTGTAATACTATAATGAAATGTCATAATCTGGAGGTGGCCATTTGTCATATTAGTCTTTGGGTGCTGCCATACATATGGGACTTAAAAATTAAGTTCCTTGCTCCTAACTTCCCCAGTCCTGGCTATGGCTGGCATTGGAGGAGTGAATGAGTGGATGGTAGATCTCTGTCTATCTTTCACATAAAATAAATATTAAATTATAAACCTCACATAAGATTTTCAACAGATCTGGGCAATCTCATGCCTTTTGGTAATTATTTTCATCCAGGGATTCATTTACTTATTGATTTGGTTGCTGGAGATATAGAAGTGGATTAAATAATTGAGAAAAATCTATATCCTGGCAGAGCTTATGTTCAAGAAAGAGAGTTAAAAAGTAAACACACTAAAAGGTGTACTGAAAGGAGTTGTGAAAAAAGTTGCAATTTTAAGTGATTATGGGAAAATTTCTGGAAAGGGGTTAGCTCAGAAAGAACTGAATGAAGTGAGGAAGTGAGGAAATGAATCATGTGAATTTCTGGGGCAAAAATTTTGTAGGCATGTGAAGAAAGTGTCAAGTCACTGGGGTGGAATGCTTGGCATGTTGAAAAAAAGCAGCCAGCAGACCAGGAAGGCTGTAGCACAGTGAGAAAGAAGAGACTAAGGCAGTGATAATCAGACATCCCTGTTACTAGGGCCTTAAAAAGATTTTCTTTAAAGATTTGTTTTTTTTGCTTATTTAGTTTATAGGCAGAGCAAGAGTGAGAGCAAGAAAGAGGCCCTCTTCCATGCACTGGTTTACTTCTCAGCTGTCCACAGCAACCAATTCTGGGCCAGTCTAAAAAGCCAAGAACTGCGTCCTGCTCTCTTGCATGGTCAGCAGCGGCTTGTGTGTTTGGACCACAGACCATATTCTCATGACTAAACTTTTTTTTTTTCTTGACTTAATGAGCTATTCCAGATTTTTAATTGTTATCTTTCTTCTAGTCTAAATGTTTTTTTTTTTTTGGCTTTCTTTCTTTGTATCTTTAAGCATATATTTAATGACAGTATTTGTTGAGTATTTACACTATATCAGGCACTTTAATAAGCATTTTGTATATACAGAATTTAGTGCTACTATTGACCCTAATTTATAGATGAGGAAACTGACAGCTAAATAAAGTGGTTTCCTTAAGGTCTTATAGTCCGCATTGATAGATACTCGATCCACATCTATTTTAGCAAAACTTGTGAAATTATAACCTCTATCTTTTTTTTCACAACTGTCTTCACTTTACTTTGTTCTTACCGTCAGCCCCCTTATTTCTCATATTCCTCTGCTATTTAAAAACAATAGATTATTTGAAAGGTAGAAAATGAAAGAGAGATTCTTACCTTCTGATTAGTTCCCCAAATACCTGCAACCTGATACTGGAGCAAGTTGAAACCATGAGATGGGTATTCTATCTGGGTATTCCACCTGACTGACAGGGACCCAAGTGCTTGATCTGTCATCACTACTGCTATCCAAGGTGCACCTTAGCA